TGGGTATTTGGATGCGGCAGGGCCGTCTGTGTCTCTCTCCAGCTTCACGCACCTCCTGCTGATGGTATCTGGCGTGAGTCAGAGGATTGTTCTGCTCATCCAGAAGCTTCAGCTCCTGTGGACCGAACAAAAGCAGTCAGTGCGGGTGCTAGATGACAAGCACAGTACTTCCTACTGAAACAGAGAGTAAGGCTTATCAACAGCGGCAGTTACTTCACAACTACAGAATTAGATTTTTATTGCATGAAGTTTTCTCATTTAGGGTTATGAATGTGCATGCAAAGTTTAGACACATGGCCAAAATATTAGTTACATCGTTTGTGTCGGGATCAAACCGACCCCCATTGGGTTCCATGCGATTTGCCAAAAGTCAACAATATATAAAAAAGTTATAAAAACAGAAAACCTTTCTTGTAGGCTGTCGAACTCTAAAATTTGAAATACACAACTTATGAAATTGAGACTCGTCTTATGAAGCATTCAAAGAGAATCTGCTGTTTCTTCATCTATCTGAGTTTCACAGTCTGTGAACTGATGTAGTTTGTAGTTGTAGTTTTTACAATAAAGGTTTTCTGGTTTTACATGATTCTTTAGTGTTTTTTCATAGAGACGGTTTTTGTCAAACTGCATGGAAACCAATTTGACATCGACACAAAAGGAGTACCGAGATTTTAAACACAACAGGAGAATATTTCTCGCCATAAATAGGTGGTTTTAGAGCACAGGGATATTCTAGAGCAGCGCTTCACAAATTGTGGTTTGCAGAGTGAAAACATTTTTATATTTACACCCCAGCAATAAGTTCGTTCAAATTCAGTTAACAAGTTTGTTGGTGCACATAACTTGTATTAATATATTTCTGACATGATGCACAACCAGTGTGGCACAGATTACACTTGTGTTTCCTGCAGCAACGACATGCAAAAATAAGCATAGCACGACCTGTGTTGTCTAATTCGAGAACAAATGACTCTCGTGAGCCAGTTCCCTAAAGAACTGTCTGTGCATGTTTTCAACCCAACCTTAAACCGGAGACAAGCCAGTGCTGCTGCGTTTGACTCCGCCTCCAGTCTGCGACGGCCATCAGCGGTAAAGGTCATCTCCTCGGGCCAGCGTACGGTCAACTCACACGTCTTTACCTTACCACCGGTAGTTCTGTACTGAAGCAGCTCCTACACGGGAGAACAGAGAAACAGAAACACATAGGGATGAAAAGCAACAGGAGAAAAAAGGAAATCGATGTCTATCTGTCAGATGTGTGTGCTGATCAGTAATGTTTATAACTTACTCTGACTCTATTGGATGATGTGGCCACCTGAATGATGCTGCCAAGAAGTGCCTTTGGCTTTGGAAATACGGAGAGCGCCTCAATCACTGCTGGATCCTCTTCTATGGGCCTATAACACATCAAACATCAGATACAGATGCAGATCATGCCAAATGCACAAACATGGATATCAAACAGCATGTCATATTTATACGAAAGGATGATATTGAATCATACTATAGGTATTCCTGTCTGCTCGACTCCTACCACACAAGCATCTCGTTTACCACTTTGTCTACGCAGGACATCAATTTCCAGAATATATCTACACTATGTAGTAATGATGTGTATAGACAATAAGCTGACTTGTTTCTTTACCACTGGGAAGCATCAAGTTGAAAGTACAGAAAGGGCACATGGAAAACTGGAAAAAAAAAATATATATATATATATATATGCATGCGATCCAACATTTATTTAAATATTCTATTTATGAATAGAAAAATTTAAACATTCTGGTTAACATGTCTTTCTTGCACTTTTATCTCTCTAAACAATGGATGGCTTTTTTTTTTTTTTTAAATGTGGAACTTAGCAGAAATACGTTAACGCTTATTTACACAAGGATTTATGGCATAATATAGGCCCATTTCAAAAGTTTACATGATTTTGTGATCTTTTTTTTTACTTTTTAAAAGAATAGTTTACCCAGAAATGAACATTTTGTCATCATTTACTCGCTCTCATGTCATTCCAAACCTGAATGAGTTTCTTTCTTCTGTTGAACATAAAAGAACATATTTTGAAGAATGCTGGTAACCAAACAGTTGATGGTCCCCATTGACTCCCATAGTATTTCTTTCCCTACTATGGAAATCGATGGGGACCAACAACTGTTTGGTTCTTCAAAATATCTTCTGTGTTCAACATAAGAGAGAAACTTCTACTGTTACTGAAACAATTACTGATATGACTCAAGTCATACAAATTAACAAATGGGGTACCTCAGGGCTCGCTCCTTGGCCCCATCCACTTTTTAATATACATAAAAATCACTAGGACTTATTAATCAGGCACATTGCTTTTGATTACAACATAACTAACAACAAGCTGACATTACTGATAACATCTTTAATATATCCAACAACCAAGTGCACATCCTTGCAAACGTATTTTGTCTGTGATCTATTCTAATGTACATTACACTACATATTTGTCATCAGCTAATATTTCATATTTAATTTTTGGCACATTGTGTTTACTGTTTTCAACCTATGTGCCCAGTTTGTACTTCCAAAATACAAGAGTATTTGATTCTATGGTGACTACAATCTTATTGTGCATTTTATTCCCCTACACACTTGTATATAACTGGAATGACAAACTTAAAATAATAAACTCAGCTGCAGTATAAGACTACCCTTGGGCTCTTTCCTTCTGGGTTTTCTTCAGGAATGGCAGATATTTAAGACGATCATGGACCGCCACATCATCTTCATCTTCCCAGACAGACGTCTGCCTCCCTTTCCGTCTCGTCATTCCTGTTACAGAGGGTTGCGTTCCTTGTCTGAGGACTCCCAGCTCCTAAAACACAATGCAGAATTTACAAGATTGCTAAACATTCAAATAGTGGTCTAATAATCTATAATTTTTTGTAAACAGCACAGAAAACAAACATTATTTGTGAAATTTCACATTTTAATGGTTAAGTGAATCGAGACATGGTTTTAAAAGACTTGGAATAAAGTACACAAGTAGTATGGACAAGTTTTATGAAACATTTCTGGTGCTTTTGCGTCTCCATTTATGGTTAATATTACATGGTACAAACTGAAAAACACGGCCTTGAGAATTTCTTCTTTAGTGTTCCAAGAATGAAGGGAGGTCACATCGGGACATATTTTGGAACAACATTGGAGTACGTAAATTTTCAACTTCAGGTAAAATACTGAACTACAGTTCAGTCACCATATAGTTCACCGAGAGATGAATGATATTGAATGCAATGGGAACAGATTTGGAGAAATGTAGCATTGCATCAGTGTCTCAGCAATGGATGCTCTGCAGTGAATGGGTGCCGTCAGAATGAGAGTCCAAACAGCTGATAAAAACATCACAATAATCCACAAGTAATCCACAGCACTCCAGTCCATCAGTTAACATCTGGAGAAGACAAAAGCTGAAACTAATCCAGCATTAAGACGTTTTTAACTAAAATACCATAGAGTCCATAATCCATAATAAGGCTTCCTCCAGTGAGAAAGTGTTCTGGTCTGAATCAGGAGCGAAATCTGCACAGATCAAGCAGTGTTTAAACAGCTCTAAACAAATATGTGGCTGGATTTTGATGCGAGAGAAAACAGCAAATGCACTTTTTCACTGGAGGAAGCTTTATTATGGATTATGGACTCTATGGTATTTTAGTTAAAAACGTCTTAATGCTGGATTAGTTTCAGCTTTTGTCTTCTCCAGATGTTAACTGATGGACTGGAGTGCTGTGGATTACTTGTGGATTATTGTGATGTTTTTATCAGCTCTCATTCTGACGGCACCCATTCACTGCAGAGCATCCATTGCTGAGACACTGATGCAATGCTACATTTCTACAAACCTGATGAAGAAACAAACTCATCTACATCTCAGATGGCCTCAGGGTCAGCATATATTAAGCAAATGTTAATGTTGGGTTGAACTGTTCCTTTAAGCGTGTCACACATAACAGTCTTACTCGGAGTTTACAGAGAGCCGCGGCTGCCGCGTGACGCTCCGCCTCCACTTTCCGCGACCCGAAGCCCTCGGTCTCGATCCTCTCGGGCCAGTGAAGCGTGACTGTCGCTCTCTAACAAAAGACATCCAACACGGTATAAAAAGGTCAAGTGCACGAGAAATAAAACGGCATACCATAACCACACAGTAGCATTCGATCAAGCTACAGAATACACAAGACGCATCTAACCTTGACTTCTCCATCGGTGCAGCTGTACTGGATGTACTGGGACAGATCGGACAGACCCAGAGATCTGGACAGTGTGGCGAACAGGAGGTTCTTCGGCTGGGGAAACTCGAGGAGAAGATCAGGACGACCTGTACGCACACGTGAGATGATAAAGCGCTCGTCTCGAGATCCTTTAGTCTGCTGCGTGATGTGTTTGTGTTCGCAGATCTCACGAGTCTTACCTTTGTGATCCGTTTCCGGCGGAGAGCGTCGATGTTTATGTGCGACACCAACTTTAGTCCTATAATGACACACAGACGTCCAGTTTGACCAGATGTCTTTATTAACTTCAAGAGTTTTTCTCCTTAAAGTGACCAGTGCGCGAACCCGCATGAGTGCCGCACAGGACGCCGCCATGTTTAATGTCTTCTTCGCCGCTTTTGACGGGAAACCTGCTGGCGGTAGCGCCGCCTACTGGAATTGTGATCAGATATGGAATTGTATCTTTCATATTAACAAATACATAAAACAAGATACACAAAGACATGTAATTCTGCTCCAGTGCACATGTAATCTACTCCGATAATAATTTGATTTATTGTAACAGATACATTTTTGCATTGTGCAGCTTATTAGTACAAGTAGCCCGAAAACACAAATAAAATTTAACTCTATCCTATTTTTTTTTATGCTAAAATGCTTAAACGTATTACATGAAGGTGTGAGTATCACACTCCTCTACAAAAACACTGTCAAATGACAAAACATAATTTTCTTTTAAAGTAATTTATTTAAAACAAATCCAAGATTACAATGGAAATATAGACCGAGAATGATAAACTGACAAGTGTTTTTCCTTCTGAACAAGAGCAGCTACTGCAACCGCTACAATCTTAATAAAACACAAACAAGTTTATATGTTTAAGTGAGGATTAAAACATCTTCAGTCAAGTTTCCCTTCACAGCAATGTTCCAGCATCATCACAAACCACGCTGCTTTACTTCTTCAGTCAGCAGCACTGAGAGACCAACGTTCAGATCAACTGAAGGATTTTGTAAAAACAGTTTGCATCAGACCATCATTTTCATCATGGACATGCTGCGCGATGCTGACAAAACACTCAATAAATACATCAAATATTCTATTAAAACAGTTCTTAATTAGAGTTTCTAAGGTAAACACTAGCAGGTGCTTCAGCGTCATCTTCTCTTGAGGCTCTGTGTTTCATCCTCACAGTTCTCTATAGCGCTAGCAATTTTCATCCGCTGTCAAAACAAACACCAAATGTTAAGACAAACAAAAAAATACTTTTTTGGCAAAATCATTTTTTTCAGAATTAATTAATACTAGAATATGCATGAAATCGATAAAAAAAAAATTTTTTAAAAAGTGTAATAATGTGACAAAAGATTTCTATTTCAAATAAATGCTGCTCTTTTGAACTTTCTGTTCATCTGTGAATCCTGAAAAATAAAATGCATCACAGTTTCCACAAAAATAATAAGAGTTTTCAATATTATTAATAATCAGAAATGTTTGTTGAGCAGCAGATCAGCATATTAGAATGATTTCTGAAGATCATGTGACACTGAAGACTGGAGTAATGATGCTGAAAATACAGCTGCGCATCACAGAAATACATTACAGTTTAACAGAGATTCACATAGAAAACTGCTGTTTTCAATTCTAATAATATTTCATTTTTTTCTGTATTTTAATCAAATAAATGCAGCTTTGCTGAAGAGCAGAGCAGAAGAGCAGCAGTGTGACCTGTATGTGATACTCACTCTCTTCTTCTGCTTTTGCACGTTTTCGACGGACACACAATACGACAGCGGTCACTGTGAGAGCGACAGGAATCAGCAGCAGACAGTAGAGCAGCGAGTCGTCTGAAATCATAAACAGGTCCAAACAGCTTGATGTCAAGCACAGTAACAGATCCAGAAAAATAACAATTAACCTATGCATTCCTCCATGCATTTAGTGCCACAAATGAAAATTCTGCTGTTTAAGTAACTGATTAAGTCCTGTATTCACAGCCCAAATCAAATATGGCAGTGCATTAATTACATCTAAACCTCACTGGTTCTTCTATCTATGACAGCATCATGATCTGAGGTCATGTGACCTGCAACAACCAATGATGACGCCAGATTGGATTGAGGTTGCCTGGCTAAGATTTTAGATTTTGTTACTATTTTGTTCTGAAGAAAGACACACATAAATGATGAAAGCCAAAATATGAAATGTCACATATAATAATGCAGGGTGGGGGCAAAACGACTTTGGAAAGATGGCAGCATCATGATGTTATGTTTACACAGAGTTTAGTAGCTCTATTAGTCAAATCTGTTGACTTTAGCAATCTTTGTTGCATTATATGCCAATGGCGACTGTTCAAAAAAAGGCAAAAACACATTTTTCTGATGTTTACAGACCTGTAACTCAGGAATTTCATATCCTTTTAGCTTTTGTTTCTTAACAAACCTTTCCTTTGGTATCTTAGTTTTTAAGTCCCTCTATGGTTCATTTCCAAAGACATATGGATTTCAGTGCCAGTAAATTGTACACATTTTCAGTGGTCAAAAACAGTCTGTTATGCTGCTCAATATTGCAATCTGGTATTTGGCATCACACTAATTTAATTCATTATTATAATCATAAACACACTGGTGTGTAGCACAAATAATTTTTTATAAAAGCGGATAGTTCCGGTGCTTGATTCTGATTGGCTGAGCCACGTTCGAAGCTGTTGTAAATTATCATTACACTTTATTTGCTCTGTTTTATTTTGTGAAACCTTACTACGTATATGGAATAACCGTTTTATAAAAGCTATAAACCCCGTGAAGCCGTGGTTTACAGTGAATTTATAACAGCTAAGGGGCGTTGTTTACTGCACTTTGTTATTCTTCTAATCTCACATTTTTAAAGAAAATACCTTACTGACTAAAGCTAGCTTGTACAGGCATATTCTTCAAAGATCTTCTTTTGCATATAAAACAGCATAAGGGTGAGGAAATGATGACAGAATTTTAATTTTGGGTTGAATTATGCCTTTAAATGTCGTGCACAACATCACCAATGCTTACAGTACAGCCCAGTCTGAGCAGAGTCAGTCATGTAGGAACAGCAAAGAATAAAGCAGACGCACCTGGAGGCGGCTGGCAGAGATCGGTGATGTTAAAGAGCGTGGTGTGGTTGCTGATGGAGTTACTGACCACACAGCTGTAGGTGTTTTCATCGTGATACTCCACATCCAGAGGCAGAGAGAGAGAGCTGCTGAAGTCAGAGCCGCTGACGCTGGACACTAAATCACTGCCCTTAAAGAAGGACAGAGTCGCTCGAGACGCATTGCTCACAGAACACACCAGGACACACGCTGGACCCGCAGATCGTTCTGATGCTGTCGAGTTCTGTGAGGAACCAGCGCTGATGATGGGAGCTGAGAGAGGAGCTGCAATACATAGAACAATCTCAGACAGCAAACCCATCAACCAGAGTCTCCAAAAACACTAAAACATACCAGTTACAGCTTTGGACATCTAAAACGTGAGCCTGGAGCACAAAAGCAGTGTTAAGTCGCTGGGGTATATTTGTAGCAATAGCCAACAATACATTGTATGGGTCAAAATTATACATTTCTCTTTTATGCCAAAAATCATTAGGATATTAAGTAAAGATCATGTTCCATGAAGATATTTTGTAAGTTTCCTACCGTAAATATATCAAAACTTAATTTTCGATTAGTAATATGCATTGCTAAGAACGTCATCAAAAGGCGATTTTCTCAATGTTTAGATTTTTTTGCACCCTCAGATTCCAGATTTTCAAATAGTTGCATCTCGACCAAATATTGTCCGATCCTAACAAACCATACATCAATGGAAAGCTTATTTATTCAGCTTTCAGATGGTGCATAAATCTCAATTTCGAAAACTTGACCCTTATGACTGGTTTTGTGCTCCAGAGTCACGTATATATGTGTGTGTACAGTGCATATGTATTATGTATATATAAACACACACATTGAAAATATTGACATGCATTATTTTCTTTCTTACCATAGACTTTAACATCAAACCTCTTGCGGGAGGTCTTTCTGTCATGGATGATTGTTAACTTATAAAGTCCAGAGTGTTCAGATTTGGTGTTTTTAATGGTCAGCGATCCGGTCTGATGGTTCAGTTGCAGTTTGTCTCTAAACAGCATCTTTCCACTCACAAAGACAGAGAACATGTAGGACCATTTCATGAGCTCTGCTATCTGGTTGTCTGGACTGTCAGGTCCAAACACCCACACGATGTGATCGTCTCTCCGAACCGTGCCAATGTCTGTGTGCAGAGTGAGCGACTCTCCCAGCATAACCCTCACGGTCTCGGTGTTATCGGTGTCTGCGCCGAACACACCTGAGAAACACAAACAGCCACAGCCATCAGATGCTCGACCCGCCTGTGAAGCCTGGGCTCAAACGGAGCCTGAAGCAACTTTGACTTCGCTAAAAAAAATATATGATAATTATATTTTTTGAATCTTTCTGACTTTTGCTAAATGTATTCATAATAACATGCACATCTTGTGTTACTAAGTTTTTTAAATGCCTGTGCACATTTTGGTGAAAAAAAAAAAAAGATTAAACATTATATGCAGAATAATTTATTTCCTGATGAATCTCTCTATTGCCTTTCATGACTAAATATCTAATGAGTAAGTATCATTTATGCATTGGCATCAATTTATATTTTACTATTACTGCACTGCATATGAAAGCCATTGTTTGTCCTTTATCTACTATTTCATACAATTATGTGTTTACAAGCACTGTACATACATTTTTACAAGCATCTATCAAAAATTATTTTTGTTGGGTTTCCATATTATATGAAGACGTTCCATAGACATAATAATTTTTATACTGTGCAAACTGTATTTTCATTCCCCTAATCATCACACAAAACATTTAGCATTTTTACATTTCCAAAAAACATTCGGTTTTCCTCATGAGGATCAACTAAATGTCCCCACAAAGTCAAAAATGTCAGGTTTTACTGTCATTCTCTGTCTAAAGAAAATTACCACAAGATACGCTGTGAATGAGTTGTTAGGCCAATATCTGCATAATGTGATGTAGAGGAACAAACCTTAGAAACTGAGGACAATGGGGGTTTCTTTCCTATGTAAATGAAGCAATTAAATAAATAAATAAAAGTTGTGCTTTGTCCTAAAAATGTATTTAAAATATCAGTTGGGTAAATTGTAAGTAAATACAAACAAAACTAAATGATAGTCAATTTGAGTAATTTATTGATATATATAAATTTTTGGCGGCAATTTGACCCCACACATTAAAAACATGATTGAAATTTGCACATAACAGCAGGGTTAAGAAATCATTGCATACACTGCTAACTTAATCCAAGCTGAGAACATTTGATTTTTAAACAAGATCTGGCTCAAACTTTCTAATAAGCTACAACTTACACAGCCATGCGCAACATTTGATTAAATGTTTGATGTCATTATTAAAAAAAGAAATTTGTGTTGTTGAATGCATGGAAAGAGATCACGTTTAAATCCAAGAAACCGTATTACTTCAAACTGAACACTTCCAGCAGACGAGCAAAAACGAGATCAGATGCCATTTAAAAAGAACAGAACTCACCAAGCAGTAAGCAGAGGAGAAACACGGATTTAGGAATCATGCTCGCTTCGAGAGCTGCGCTCAGGGGTGTGTTCAGAGTGACTGCAGGTACAGATATAAACGGGTAGATTGTGTAAGTGTGAATCGAGTGTAGCGTCAGTGATCCGAATTAATATCAGCGTCGCATCGACTCGTGTTTACACCTGAAGCGTGTTTGAGTCAGAGCCGCTGGATGAAGAACAATATATATTATGATATATGTTATATATTATGATATGTTAAAGAAATACTTATTTTTCATTTGATTTTATTCACAAATACAATAGTATTGAAATTAAATCACACGTTTAAATAAACATAAAGAAATCTGATATTTTTATCATTGCGTTTAAGTCTGAGGGATGAAACTAAAGATTTGAATTGAAGAGGATATAACAGAAGACATAATGAAGATTTAAACAACTGTTGCGAGAGAGACTTTTATTTTAGCTTGACGTCATGACGTCACGGGGACGGTGCGTGCTGCGTGCGTTGAGGAAAGGTTTGTGGTTTCTGGCGCTTCACTGTTTAAACGAAATGAAACGTTAAAGGTGTTTTGAAGTTTTGTCAAATGTGCTGCTAATAACACGGAATATTACTGAAGCGGGTTTGCCTTAATAATGTGTAGTGGATGTGGTTAATCGCGGAATGTGTTACTGTAATGGTTTGAGGCCTGTTGACATCAAGAATGAAGCGAATCTTTAACGAATGTGCGCTTAATCTACACAGCAGCGTTTATTATTCAGATCAGTCGTTACACTCTATCCTTGTGGCACTATATATATATATAGTTTTAAAGCGAGTGAAGCATTGAATTGCATTTTTGGATGTGACTCCAACCTGTCGTCGTTAATAGTTCATATCAGCAGGTTCTTGCAGAAGTGGAATAATTTCAAAACATGAAAGTATCAAAAAGTTATAGAAGTTTAAATCTACTTTAAAGAAAATACACTGTACTATTTTTTACATTTTATTTAAAATAAATATTTTTCACAACAGGTTTTACTCTGAAATTGCTGTAAAATGAAAGCCTTGTGTCTAAATAAGTTATGTTCCAAATTTGAAGTTGATACTAAAAAAATTGAGGTTCCTGTGAGATTTTATTTTATTGTTTTTATGCACTTTTCTGTCACAGATGTTTAAATTTCTCTGTGAATGTTACAAAATAACCACCAAATATTGAATCTTGAGTCTTAAGACCTTTCGGATGATATGTATTTTGTCAAGATTATAAAAAGTTTTGATTGTAAAACATATTTTGTAATATGACACTCGACACCGCCCACTTAGGGGGAGGAGACTGCAAACAAAGTTTAAAGTACCGTTTCCATGGTAACGCAATATCCGGTTTCTAGATGATATCTAATTTATGATGATTACTAAAATATGTGACGGGGAAAAAACAATGAAAACAATTTAAAGGGTTAAAATGCTGAATACAGATGTTAGAAGCATTAAATGTTTTGCATTGTGATGATTTTTCAGTCCAGTTACGTGTCTGTCCTTTTAATTATAATGCATTTGCGATAAAACGACAAAAGTCGATGTTTAACAAAGTTTAATAAAACTTATTGTAATTTTGTAGTATTACTAGAAGATGCACTGATTGTTTTGTTTTTTTCATTATTTAATTTTTAGTCAGATCTGGACCTCTCGATCGACGTCTCCAGTGAAGCTCCTCCCACAGCTGGGAGCGAATCAGGCGTTTACAGGCAAACTACTGAAAGGATGGAGTTTGTCCGAGTAGTGATTGGGGACGTGAGTGATCCAGAACCATTCAAGATATTAAAGGATGACCCCGAGGAGCAAAAAGGTTGGTTCCCGATTATGTTATTCATTTATATAAATCATATATGTACTATGATGCTGTCTGTTGATGTTGATGTTGCACCGTATTAAAATAACATGCTTTCATACATAAAAGCTGTGTCCCAATCTGATGTGCTATACACTATGTAGTCAACCATCTAGTGTAGGAGGGTTAAAAGGTTAATTTGCCATCCAGCGTCTCTTTGGCTGCATAAGGAGAGTGCATGTGATTGCATGAAGTCAACATTTCACACTTCAGTTTTTCCAGCTAATTAAGTGCGTCGTAGGTATTTTAACCCATTTAATCCCACCGGTCACAATAAAGAAGGGTTTCACTTATAAAGCTCTAAAAATGTCACTGACTGGTGTTTTAGTGCATTTCCTGCAAATATGGAAACATAAAGGGTCTCAGTTAAATATGTGCAGATTGTCACATGATCAGAACAGTGTACTTCCTGTTTGCACTGTGAGAACATGAGGCGTGTGTTAACATAAAGATTTTTGATACACATTATATTTAAGGTGTCTAGTATTAATACACGAATTCACAATTATTCAGTTTTGCTGAGTGTGGTCATAGAATAGAGTAAACATGTTGATGGTCACAACAGTGCGTTTAGGTTTACACATAAATCCAGTTGCAGTTGTTAGTGAAGGCTGCACTAACATGTTACAAATAAGTTACAATATTGATGTTGTAATACTAGTAGCACTAATGTAACAGTTTTATTATATATGTTACAATAAAGTAACAATTTTGAAATACGTTGATGGTTGTATTTTTATTTTTTTGTCTTTTATCTCAGTATTCATATCAGTGTTGTATAAGGGGTTTTTATGCGTAATACTAACCCTAGAATGTGAGGAAACAGTTTAGAATAGCTGGGCTGAGATATATAAGAATTCTGATGACTGCAGAATTATGTTAATTAAGTATACACATTAATTGTGACCACACACTTTAAAAATTTAAAACAATTATTATTGATTATTTCAAAGGGCTAGTAAAATTTGGGATTAAACAGGTTAAGTGCACTTTCTATTGTTAGAGTTTTTATTGTGAACACACTGCATGCACTAAACGTTTTCTGTGTTCGTTTCAGAGGTGAAAGAGGAAAGTCACGAGCTGAATGAAGTGGAGGAGGAACCTCATGCAATCTTAAGTAGCTCAGACACTGAAAATAAAAGCACGCAGAAAACAGCGCTCATCTGTTCTCACTGCGGAAAGACTTTTAGACAGAGAGGACATCTCGACGATCACATAAGGACTCACACCGGAGAGAAGCCTTACGCGTGCCTTCACTGCGGGAAGAGCTTCACGCATAAAGGAAACCTTAAGGATCACATGAGGATTCACTCGGGAGAGAGACGGTTCGCGTGTCAGCACTGCGGGAAGAGGTTCACGCATAAAGCCAACCTCACGGATCACATCCGGATCCACACGGGAGAGAAGCCGTTCTCCTGCGATCAGTGCGGGAAGAGCTTCACACACGCCACGAGTCTGAAGACTCACCTGCTGTCTCACTCCGGAGAGCGGCCCTTTAGCTGCGATCAGTGCGGACACAAATTCATTCTAGCGGCGCACCTGAAGAGACACCTGAGGATCCACACCAACGAGAGGCCCTACGTGTGCTCCTTCTGCGGGAAGAGCTTCTTGTGGCTCTGCTATTTTAAAGACCACCAGAAGAAGCACACGGGCGTGAAAGCTCACGTGTGCTCTGAGTGCGGCAGCGCCTTCACGAGAGCCAGTGAGCTGAGGATGCACCAGAGGACCCACACCGGAGAAAAACCCTACACCTGCTCGTGCTGCGGAAAGAGCTTCGCAGAGTCCGGAAACCTGAAGAAACACGAGCGTGTTCACACCGGAGAGAAGCCCTACCAGTGTCCCTCCTGTGGAGGCAGTTTCAGCCAGTTCAGCCATTTGCTGAGACATTTAAAGCAGCAGAGCTGTCCGAAGCTGACGCAGTTCTTCTTCAGGCCTCCGGATGAACAGAGCTCGTCCTCAGGTGCAACACTGGCGATTGAATCAAAGGTGGAATTTCTGCCAGAATAACAGTGCGGACGGGGATATTCATTGTGATATTGTGAGAAGACTAAGGTACGCTACTGTTCAAAAGTTTGGAATCAGAATGATTTTTACAGGAGTTTCTTCTGCTCATCAAGGCTGCATTTATTCAATCAAAAATACAGGAAAAAATGTAATATTGTGAAATAATATTACGTTTTAATATACATTCAAATCTAATTTTCAGCATCATTACTCCAGTCTTCAGTGTCACATGATCTTCAGAAATCATTCTAATATGCTGATTTATTATCAGTGTTGAAACTGTTGCTGCTTAATATTGTTTTGGAAACTGTGATACTTTTTTCAGGATTCTTTGATGAATAAAAAGTTAAAAAGAAGAGCATTTATTCAAAATATAAATCTTTTCTAACAATATAACTATTTGCATAAAGATTTTTGATACACATTATATTTAAGGTGTCTAGTATTAATACACGAATTCACAATTATTCAGTTTTGCTGAGTGTGGTCATAGAATAGAGTAAACATGTTGATGGTCACAACAGTGCGTTTAGGTTTACACATAAATCCAGTTGCAGTTGTTAGTGAAGGCTGCACTAACATGTTACAAATAAGTTACAATATTGATGTTGTAATACTAGTAGCACTAATGTAACAGTTTTATTATATATGTTACAATAAAGTAACAATTTTGAAATACGTTGATGGTTGTATTTTTATTTTTTTGTCTTTTATCTCAGTATTCATATCAGTGTTGTATAAGGGGTTTTTATGCGTAATACTAACCCTAGAATGTGAGGAAACAGTTTAGAATAGCTGGGCTGAGATATATAAGAATTCTGATGACTGCAGAATTATGTTAATTAAGTATACACATTAATTGTGACCACACACTTTAAAAATTTAAAACAATTATTATTGATTATTTCAAAGGGCTAGTAAAATTTGGGATTAAACAGGTTAAGTGCACTTTCTATTGTTAGAGTTTTTATTGTGAACACACTGCATGCACTAAACGTTTTCTGTGTTCGTTTCAGAGGTGAAAGAGGAAAGTCACGAGCTGAATGAAGTGGAGGAGGAACCTCATGCAATCTTAAGTAGCTCAGACACTGAAAATAAAAGCACGCAGAAAACAGCGCTCATCTGTTCTCACTGCGGAAAGACTTTTAGACAGAGAGGACATCTCGACGATCACATAAGGACTCACACCGGAGAGAAGCCTTACGCGTGCCTTCACTGCGGGAAGAGCTTCACGCATAAAGGAAACCTTAAGGATCACATGAGGATTCACTCGGGAGAGAGACGGTTCGCGTGTCAGCACTGCGGGAAGAGGTTCACGCATAAAGCCAACCTCACGGATCACAT